CTCCCTCTCTCTCTCTCTCTCTTTTGCGCGCCCCTTTCTCCTTCCCCCGTCCCTCCTCTCAGTCCCCATCCCCCCTTCTCTCTTTTCACTTTTTTTCTCTCCGTTTTCTTTCCCGCTCTCTTTCTCTCTCCTTCCAATTAAAAAAAACAACCTTTTAGAATTTTAAATTGAAAATGTTTTTTAATCCAGAAGGAAAGTTGTTTCATGCTAACATTTACCTGGTCTGTGGAAAATTGAATTTAGGGAAAAATCCCAACATCAACAACTGATGAGTTGGGCAAAATGGGCACTCATTTATGTTTCTTCATATATTGTTTCATCAAAATCCACATCGTTACAGTAACTGTCATGTAGTACTTGGGATAATCAAAACGAATGACCCGGTACACCAGACAAAGCAGAGGGAACTAAAACCCCATCAACCGTACCACGAACCACCCTTTCTTTTCACTGTAATGCATTTCAAATGCTATAAATGTTTCAGACTATTTTCAAGACCAAAACACTTCTTTTGGAGGTAAAAAAGTACAATAAGAACGAGTCAAGACTCACCTATGAATACATAGACTAGAGCTGAAAAACTCAGGCAGTACACACACATGAAGTTCAGCACGAGTTGTAAAACTGTAAATTTCCCTGGAGAACCAAGTTCGTGCAGAATATCCTCCAGTCCTGCTGTTTGATCCTGGCTGTTTACACAGACTGCACTCTCCTCAAACTCGCCTTCATTTTCTCCGGGCATTAATTTATCGGACGGTTTCTTATTTGGAAAAAGTGGTAAACTACCGTTTTCGTTGTATTTTTCATCAGGCATTGTGTCTGATAAAAAAGGCTACAACTACACACAAAATAAAGAGCTGAACAGTAATCCTAGAATTCACCGGAGACGAGAATGTAAGTGAAAAGGCCTTTAGAATCTATGTTTAATAGTCTTCATTTCTTATAGCTTAACACCTTAAATGAAGCGGGAGACACGACTCTCTAATTTGATTGCCACGGTAGTGTGTGACTTGAATACTGACACAATGAACAAACACCTGCGCTTTGAACGCTGTTGGGAATAAGATGAGAAATTCGGTACTCATGGTCAGCATTGTGACACTATTGCATCAAAATAGACGATAGCTATTGTTCCTATAATTTTTTGTCCAGAAATTCGCTGTTGCATGCATGAGAACCGAGCTAGATTCCAGAGTGGGAAGAATTCTTTTGTGTATCCCTCTCAGTCAGGGCAGGATCGGGAGCCCACCTCCTAAATGATCTAATTTTTGTTGGTGGGGCGTAAAATTTTTTTTTGAAAAAAATAAAATAAAAAGGAAATAATCATTCTTTTGAAGACTGATTCACTATCTTATGTCTCTTCAGTTGTTCTATTTACAGGTATTATGCATTTGCTTCTACATCCTTCTCTCGCATCTTGAGACTAATGAGACTGGTTCATTGGCTGCAGTCGTTTTCCTTTTGTTCCCTGACTTTAAAAGGTGATCTTTGTTGAGGTTACGTCTCTGTCACTTGTTTGTTGTATCCCTGTTGACTTTCTCCCGTTTTCTCCCTCCATTTTAAAGGTATCCATATAGATCTGTTGGTATTTTCTCGTATTCCGTGCTTGTATGTGTCCTTATCACCCGTGTCTGTATTAAATGAGCAGAGGAAATGCTGTAGAGATTGGATAACTTCTTTACCACTGTATCAATTGCCTTCATAATTATCAAGAAATGTTTATTTTTTCAAGAATTTGTCAAAGACATCTCACATAGAAACTGTAAAAAGAAGGGGGGAGGGGGGTGTAATCCACATTTCTCCTCTTGTCGAAACCTTGCCCTATTTGACTTTTGTGTGACTTCCTATTTTTCTGAAGCTGACAGAACGCTTAAAGCTAAGGGAAATCAATACAATATAGATGAGAGACACCAACAGTGATGTGTGGAGGCGGTGCAACAGAAAATCACTGTAGAGATTTGTCGTACGTCGGCCCACCGGCATAGACAGAGATGGTAATTTTGTCGAAAAATAAAGGTAGAATGTTATAGCAGTTATCCTAACCTTTTATAAGGTGAAAAGTTTGTGTTCATGTCGTGACTATTTTGGAAATTATGACCAAGAAGGGAAAACTTTTCAGTTAGCCCCCATAGTTTTCAGATGATATCGCTCTTAGTAGTTTATCTTTGATGTTGGCCTTTTGGCATTTTGGAGTGAGAGTAGATGACAATTCCTCCTACGTTTTGTTTTTGAAAGCCTGTTTCAACAGAATCGAGAAATATAAACGAAGAAGATCGTAGAAAGAAAGTGTCACTGCTTGTCTCCGCTTGATCTCAAACACAGAAGAAACGAAAATGGGAAAAACGGAAAGGGGGGGGGGGATTTGATGAATGGCATATTTTCGTCAGAGAATACAGTAAACTCTTTCAAAACAGCAAGGAAATGGCCCTATTCGCCTTTTATAGTGCGGTCAAAAATTCATGGGGCAATTTATCCTCAAATATCTCTTTCACAAGTACATCAATGTTATCCATACTTTGCAGGGCAGTTTTGTATCAATTTGTCTTAATCATATTTTCCCACACAATTGAGCTATATTTAAAAAAAACAAAACTTTTCTTCATAAATTTATTTTAAAAATACTATAAATCTCCGTCATGCGTAAAATGGGAATGTACACTGCGCTTCCCACTTCTCTCACACACATTGCATCTTATGGCCTTCGTCAGAGCTCACCAAAGACCCCTTTTACTTAAAAGTTTTAGTGGCAAAACTTTATTGCGAACATATTTTATGCACTAACGGTTCTCGAAACATCCGTTCAATAAAGATAGTGTTACGATTAGAAGAAAAAAAATGACGTACTTGCTTTAAATAGCGATATTGCCCCAGCTGTAAAACTTTAAAAATCTGTAGAAACCACCCACTTGATTTTTTTAATTAGTACTTATTAAGGAATTTTCTAGAATACAGCTAACAGATGTTTACAAAAATGTTGTACGACAAATTGATACAAGTCATTGTACAAAAGCTGGAGAGTATCCAATATATTCGATAGTTTTGGAAATATTTGATAAGTTGCGCCATGAATTTTTCACCGCATTACTTTTTTGGGATTTCAGTATCTCACATGTAAATTACCTTCAAAGACTATACAAAAGTATACTACATTGTATTATTATCTAGTAGGACGCCCTGTCGAGCTGTATGGGAACTCCACCTGGTATGACATTTCAGATATATTGCATCCAGTCAGGAATTTGAGATTTAAGAGCCAGAAGAGTGTATACAAACGACTGTCTCAAAAAGGGGTTATAATTAACAAGGGCGTTTGTCCTTATGAGGCAAAGGCAATATGATTGTGCTTTGCCGCAAACATATTATGCTAACGGATAATGAATGAATGCTATGATGGCCTTGTCTATTGGCAACTGGTTCAGAGATAGCGTGTCATAGGTAGGCAGCTACATAATCATTATAGTGCGTCACGCCACTGGTTACTTTTTAGTACGGGTTCACGGCTCAATATATATAATTATATGTTGATTCCATAACTGCGACATCATATTGGGTGCAGCAAGGCCTCCTGAACTGAAAGTATCTTTTGATATATTGGCCGGACCTTGGTAGAAACAGTGGTTTGGCTAAAATGTGAACACATGACAGTCTGCAAAAATTGCAACAACAAAAAATTAGACCAAAGTGAGCAATATTTCTAAGCAGATAAGACGTAGAGGTACATATTTTTTGTGCATGGCCTGTTTCTGGAATGTGTCTTTTTTACTTCGATTTTTGAAAACTCGTCAGTTGTTTTTCCTTTCAATAATATGATTTTTCTAACGATGTAAAATGCAAAAAAATGTTACATTTCAATTTTACGTCTCTATAGGGACTGCTAAGAGTATCGTGGAAGGAAAAGAAATCTATGAGGTAGTGCTTGATGAAGTCCACGTGGGATGCTCAATGTTAAAAACAATCAGGAAACGAAAAATACAGTTTTTGTGACACCTGAGTAGACATAAGGGTCTTGAACATCTAGCTCTCACTGGCAAAATTGAAGGTAAACGAGGCAGGGGTAGGCCCAGAACCACATACTTAGGGAACCTAACCAAGTGGGTAACAGGGAAAGATCAGGGAAACGTAACTTTTTTTTTAGAGCAACCGAGCAAAGGAATGAATGGAGAACCATGATCGCCGATCTGGCACTGGAAGACGATGATGATAGGGTACCGTAAATGTTGGAACTCTCAGGTTAGACAAAAACCCAGAAGAAGACCGAAATCTACCTTGGAGCGAGATCTACAGGCAAATCTCAGGCGTATGGGAAACGGCTGGCAGGAAGTGGAGAAGTTCGTCCAGAACAGAGAAAGCTGGAAAATCCTTCTAAAATTCTTGGTAGCCTATACTCAATACGATGGTGAAAGAGGCGAATGATAATGATGATGATGATGATGATAGTATAAACATATCTTTACGAGGGACCAAAAAGGGCGAAATTGTATAGGTTTAATGCCCAATGATTAGAATATTTAAAAGGCAGGACCCCCAAATTTAACGTCCGTTTCCAACACAGAGCCAAATGGGAAAATTAATGTAAGGTACTTTTCCCAAGGACAAAGCATCAAACCTGCAATATCACACACACACACACACAAACACATACGCACGCACACACACACACATACACACACACACACACACACACACACACACTCCCCCCACAAACGCATACATGTACACCACATATATACATACACAAACGCTTCGCATACACTTCACCCCCCCCCCCCCCAAACACACCCACACACCTACACACACACACACACATACACTCACACACACACACACACACACACACTCCCCCCCCCCACACACACACAAACGCATACATGTACACCACATATATACGTACACAAACGCTTCCCATACACTTCACCCCCCCTCCCCCTAAACAAACACACCCACACCCCAACACACACAAACACACATACACACAGAGGGGAGAATGACAACCTGTCGAACTGCTTGCCTAAAGGTTTCTGACCTAGAAACGTCTCACATAAAACAAACAAGGAACACTGACTCCTTCAAAGAGAAAAAAAATAATACAAGCAAAACAATACAACTCTCTAGTGTCATTAAAAGCCATTGTATTATTCAATTTTATTCAGCATCACATTCTGACCTCTAGAATACACTATCTGTAGGCTTTAAAATCTTTTTCTTCACAACATAAAATATTCATTTCTCCACTCCTATTCATTACATACAGAAGGGAATATCTAAATAAAGAAAACTAGACCTATAACTTTGTTAGGAGTTAAATTTAATATGAAGCACATTTTCCGTGCTTTGTACGAGAAGTTAAGAATATTATAAATAATCAAGAACTTTGACACCATATGGAAAAATATCTAATCAGCGTGCTATAAGATATTTTACTTGCATAGCATAATGAGTGCTTTCAGAAATTCGTGTCCGATAATGTGACACTCAGTTTAGACACGGAATCCGTAGCCGGTCCTCCGTCATCCTCTGACCTAGAATCTCTCGTTTCGTCTTCATGTAGTTCCGAAGGCATGTGAATGTCATTCCTTTTCTTCTTGTCTGTTGCTGGCCTGCTACCCATGACTTCTGCTTTGTCTTGTATTTCTACTGACGACTCGAGATCAAATTGATGCTTCTTCCCTCGTCTCCTTGTCGCATCTCGAGGACACTTGTGACTATGGACTTTAATGAACTCATTGGTTAACCCTCTTAAGCCAGGGGAAAGGTCCTTGCCCTCAAATGGGTTTGCATCCCCATCTTTAGATCTGTTATCTGCAGTGCCTTTTCTAGCTTTTTCCTTGATGTGTGTTTTTCTCAAAGTCGTGAGGCGCCAATTGGCCCCCGCTGGGGAACACTGATCATCAACAGTTGCTGACGATTTAATCTCGTCATGCTGTACCTGAAAGTTACGAACACACCCTGCTTCATTTTCTTTCGTGTCTCTGTGAACTACAGTTTCTTCCATTCCGTTAGACTCCCTCGCATTACGCCCCCAATTTTGTTCACTTTCTCCAGCATTATTCACGTGAGGTAGGGGTTCATCTTTCCCAGACTGTTGGCCATATCCCGGACCGCTGTGACGTCGTCGCTCAGTGACAGCGCGCCCAAAGACTCTGGAGGACTTGCTGGTGTCCTGGTGGAGAAGGTCCGAGTGCCTGCTTGTGTACACGTCACTGGGGCGCTGACTGTCGTGGAGGGAGCTCACAGCCGTGCGGTCATCGTCCAGCATGTACTGTAGTCGACGGGTTCTGGATCTGGTGGGGGAATGGGGGAGTGGGTGGTAGTGGAAGAAGACTTGCAATGATAGTATTATTTTCAGTGGCAGGAAACAATTAATCATTATTAGTTTGTGAACTTAAAGACTACAGAGGAAAATTACTCTACTCACTTCATTATTTTTGGCATAACTCGAGCGGCAAAAGTATATCTATTTTTTTAATAGTAGAGGGTTTTACGGCGCTCGCAACTGCATAAGGTCATATGAGCGCCAAGGGGTGGGTGTCAACAGAGAAGTCTTTACAGGGAATCAGACTTAGACTGCTCACCTCTCTAGCTTAAACAGCACAAGGTCTGCTTCGACTATCAAGGCACCCCACAATAGCAGGTCACAAGGGAGTGACAAACATACAAAAGAAGTAGAGGAAAATGACAATAATAAGGATCAGGAAAGAAAAAGCAGCAGTTCCCTGATGCAGATCAAGCACGGTTATGAGCGTGACATGAGTCAGCCCATTTACAATTCTACTATGCTTGAACGAGATATGTCTCCCCTTTGGGAATGGCCTAAAGACACTTCAGTCAGTGGCACGGCCCCGGGGGGTGTATATCTATGTAAAAAAAACCCAAAGTCAAATCTGTACTTCAGAAGAAAGAAATGACATGAAAAACAATACTTTAAACACTCCACACGCCCATCCGCCATATACCTTATCTAATGACTTCAACATGGCAGCATAAAAACGTGAATATGCACAACAAAGAAAACACTGTACACTATGGGCTTGAAAAAAATGTAACAGACTATAGACCAGTTAAACATCCGTGGCGCAACTTATCCTCAAAATATGTTTTTAACAAGTGAATCATTTTCACCCATATTTTGCATAGCAGTTTGTATCAATTTGTCTTAATTTAATTATATTTTTCCACAACAATTGTGGCAAGATATAAATATTTGTCTTCATTAATATATATAAAATACTACAAATCTCCTTCATGCGGAAAATGCAATTGTTCATAGCACTTCTTGCTTCTCACACACTTTTGCGTACGCATAATATTGTTCATATCACAGCTCACCAAAGACACTTTTTAGTGGCAAACCTAGTTACAAGAAATCAATTTTATAGAGAACACGTTTTTTGCACTAAAAGTTCTCAAAGCAAGCCTTCAAAGAAGATAATCTCCCGATCATGAAAACAATTACGCCATTGCTTTTAAAAGCGATATTGTCCCAGCTGTACACCTTTTAAAATCAGTAGAAACCACCAACTGGGATTTTAAAATTAGTATTTATTAAGGGATTTTCTAGAATAGAGCAAGCAAACAGGTGTTTATAAAAATATTAATCTGTTCAGACAAATTGATAAAAGTCACTGTGCAAAAGCTGGAGAGTTTATGTTCGATAGCGGAAGAGATATTTGACAATAAGTTGCGCCACTAATTTTTGACCGCACTATTGGTAGGCCTTAATGTCAAGAGGCTTGACCAAGAGGGGGAAACGTGGAAAACACTTGTCGGTGGCCGGTACTCTAGCCCATGGTGAGAATGAGGTAAGGTGTGGCATGGTGATAAAATCAGGCGCTCGTCAAAGTAATGGAATGGAAGAAATCAACATTTTTCCTCTTGTACGGCAATTTTTACTGAAATGTTTGTTTTTGACTCAACACCTTTTAAGCACAATTTATACACACTCCTGCGAGGATTTTTTATTTTTCCTGAAAAATATTGATTAAAGGAACACAATTGTAAATTTACAGTTTACAAGGACACAACAGCTTGGGAAGTCACCAAACGTTGGCGATAATTTTTTCGATACTTTTACCTCTGACACCTGGCTATCCCCACCTCCTCCAATCCCAATTAGCTCTATTTCTATTACTTGGAAAAATAGCTGAGGTTCTTTTCATCAAAAGTGAGGCGAATGAACTGGTTTTAAGATAATACAAGACTCCAGATGCCCCCGAATTTGACGAGTGCCTGATTCCACCGTGCTGTGACACCTTGAATGTTAATCATTACCTGTTCTGAGGTACTCTGTTCCAGTCGTAGGTAGCCCTGACGTATTCGCTCCTCAGTCTCTCGTGGTCTCTCTCTAACGCCCTCAGAGACTCTCGGGTGATCTTGTGGTAGACCTTCTCCGCGTCTCGCTGAGATGTCAGCTCCACTATACGCATCTTCATCGCATCGTAGCTAGGGCACTTTTTGGCGGTGTCCGGCTCTCTTGCGTCAGTTCTGGAATTTTATTACTTGATTTGTAACTTACTTTCGAATGAGTCTCGAGGCTAGTTTTGCCTTCGTCGTCGTTGTCGTTGTCACTGTCGTTGTTATCTATTTATTCTTTTCCTTAAATTATACAACTATTTTTGAAACTAGAAACGTTCTTGTTCAGTTTGTAATGAAGAAACACTCTGCTTGATAACAGCTACATTGCGTCTCAGGAACATACATACACATTTCTTACAAACAGCAATATATGCCTAACAGAACGACTCGATTCTCATACTCACATTTTATACATATTTGAAATGATCTTGTTTTGAAGCTCTTCATTTTGATCCGACAATGTTTTGGAGAAAGACGTGAGTCCAGACTGTACTTTCTGGGTAACAAAGAGTTTTGGGTTTAGTCCAACTTGTTTTTTTAAATGAAGAAACGTATTACAAATAATGTTTTTCAAACAAATATATAAGAACAACAACCCAATAAACACGACAAAATAAGGGCAACATACAAATTGATTTCTAGCATTTTCAAATAAGCTCAAAGTATACAAACCGTCGTATGTGGTGTAGCAGATAGGTGCTCGCTGTCATACGTAGGAGTCCAATTCCTAAGAGGAGAGAAAATTGTTATCGAGTATCTCGGTATTTCTACTGGGATGTTGTATCCCTCTAAGCCCGGGATGGACCCGGCAGCCTCCTTCTTGACTAATCTAAATTATTGTGTCGTTGGGGGTGTAAAACATCTGCAATTAAAACTGAAGGATAATAAGGATATAATAACAAACATATTATTTTCATAGATAGCCTACATAGTTGGATTCGCTATATAAATCTACTGCCACATAATTTCATCAAGGAAAGTTTCATTAACTGACTAGTTTACTACTTAGACAAGCCAAAAACGTACTGTAGGATCCTGTTTGTTGATTTTTCGTTAGCCTTTAATACTATCCAGCCAGCTATTCTTTTAAAGAAATTAGACAACCTAGGTGTTAAGGTCAATTTATTATTATGGATAGGCAATTTTCTTACCAAGCGAACCCAGTATTTAAAATTAAAACATTCCTCATCGACATACATCTCAACAAATACAGGGGCCCCTCAAGGAAGTGTTTTATCACCAGTTTTATTCACACTATAAGAGAACGATTGTCAAATAAACAACAGTAACATCAAGTTGATACAATTTGCGGACGATTCAACCATAATTGGTCTAATTCAAGCTGACCCTAACGAAACCGCTTACTGGAATTTTGTACTTAACTTTTCGGAAAGCTGTGAAAATCATAAGCTGCGTTCAAAAGTGAAAACCCCCCAAAAGACCTTATTGTTAACTTTAGAAAAAAGTAACTGCCCCTGTAGCCACTGGAAATTAAATGTGAAAACATCGAGCAAGTGTCAGATTATAAGTATTTGAGTGTTACAATAGACAACGAACTCAACTGGCGTGTCCACATTCTCTCCTGCATAAAACAGTGAACAAAAAGACTATTTTTTCTAAGGAAGTTCATGTATTTTAAAGTTGATAATACTTTAATGCCCACATTCTATCTTTCAACGATAGAAAGTAGGATCAATTTTTGTATAACAGCATGGGCTGGGAACACAAGATGACAAGATAAAGAAATATTAAATCGATTAATATGAAAAGCATGTAAAATTTCAACATCTACACTCCCTTACTTGGATGGGTTGTACATAACAGCTTGCACTAAAAAAAAAATTCCATCTTTTTAGACAACAAATATCCCTTGTTCCATCAAATAAAAACATCAGTCAGAAGTAAAAGACCTAGGCTTCTGATCTGTTACAAAGAAAGATAATTATATGGAAGGTCATTTTTACCAATATCCATCAAAATTCTTCCACCTTAACCATCTTGTTATAAGTATTCATATAACCTTAGAGCATGCATCAGAATAACATTGAGTATGTATCTAGCCTAAAATTATTATTGTTTATATTGCTGTACATTTATATTATGTATGTGATTATGCATATGTGTGTGTGTGTGTGTGTGTGTGTGTG